GGGGGGGGGGAGGGGGGGGCCTCCCGCTCTTCCTGCACCCCTCAGGGCTGCCGCTCCAGCCTCTTCTGCCCCTCGCTGTCTGACAGGTGCCCTTGCCTGCTGCCCCCTTTTATAACCGTTTTTTCCTGCCAAAACAGCTGATTGGTAGCCCAGCTTTGGGGTTCCACCGTTTCACTGGCTCTTCACCAGCCCACACGGCCCCAGTTTCCTCAGACGGCTTTATTACACACATACACCCCACATCACCCCAAAGCTATATTTATATTTTATTCAGAGCTGGGGTGCTTTGTTCTGAGTGGAACTCTTTTTCCTCATTATGGTCACTGTTAGGCCCCAATATTATTTCTTCACTGCCCGCTGATATTGTTGCATTCACCGAACAGAAAGGAAAATCACAATTGCCTTTGTAAATTCTAGAATAGAAAATTCAACAGTGCCCAGTAGGAGGATGGGGATGATAAATAATAATATAATTTATTAAATTTATGTGCCACCCGATTCCCAGCGACTCTGGGCAGTCAGAAGAAGGGTGTTCCTGAGCATTTGCAAACTCGCTTCCTTGTCCAAGCACAGTCTAGCAATGTTCATATGTTAAGTAAAATGATACAAACTTACAGGGCTTCTGAGCGTCTACAGAATTCTCTCCCCTCCCCACCTTATTGTTGACTAACAACAGCTTGCACATCCTTTCTGTTCCAAATCTCTGCCTTGAACGTGGGGCATCATCCAAAATAAAACATATTCAGGGCCATCAGGATATTCTCTCCCAGCCCTCAGTCTTCCATTCTTCCTCCATGTTTACTTTGGGACCACGGCTGATCTCATGAGGACTAGCAGCTTGGTCTGGAGAACCCTAACTAAACATCTGCCTGGAATTTCCCTTTGAAAAGAAAAATCTGCACATGGTCCAGTGCAGTAATTCCCATAATCCAGGTTGAGATGCCCTCTTAGGGTCTCTCTCCCTTCTTCCCTCCATACCCCAGTTCAGATCAACTCCACATTATGGATGAAAAGTCTTAACATTTTCCTCTGTGTTTCCTGGAAACAGACGTGCCATATGAAGAAGGGCTGGATGAGGACGAAACTTATTCGCAGAGGTTGGGCGAGTCCTCCTCGATCTCCATCGCCGAAGCAAGTGCGTAAAGGCCGCCGACGCCAGAAAACCAAACCAGCAGCAGCTCCAGAAAAAGATCGGGGCCCAAACGAGACTCTTTGAAGCGTTAGGATCCCTTCAAATTAATTGCAGCCTTGGGATCACGTTGAAGGCGGGGAGGGGTCTTGTATTCCTTGTGCAAACTGCATCGCTCGCACGAGAAGATTGTGCTATGCAGGGTGTTGCAGCTCCCCCCGGGCGACCCAGAATGGATTGGAAGAAGGAAAGGGCGGTGGGGGGGGGCAGCAGAGTAGCCCACCTGGTTCTTTCCTTTGATGCTTCCTTTTGAATGATCTGGTTGGGTTACCTTTACGGGCCAGAGGGTAAGAAAGATCCTTCTCGGAGACCCGTTGCCAAAGATTGCGCCACGAGAGTCCTTGCTGGGCGAGCGTTACCAGGGAGCACCTTCTCTCCCCGCTCTCGTACAGCCCCATCAGCGCTTACTAACCTGGCCAGTTTCCAAAGGTGTGGGTGGATCGGTACAAAACTCAGTGCTCACTGCTGTTATCTTCCCGATCCCATCCTGTGAGTGCCTGATCTTTTCTTTTGATGTCCCTCATTTAGAGAAAGACTGGAGGAGCCGAACGTCTGTATTGGAGGGAAGGGAAAAGCCCGTGCCTCAGACTTTATCCACAGCCTCGGTTAGGTCAGGCATGAGTGAAATAGAGCGCGAACTCGGCCTGGCGCCCCCGAAGGTTCGGACGTATAAAGTAAGCCGCCTTCGCTTCTGCTGGGAGCCTTTGCTTCTATTGAAAAATCAGGGCAGCTCTTAATCGCTACGCAGCACCTCTTTGCAGCATTAGAAACAAACATGACCTGTTTCACTGTTGGCCCCATTATTTCTCTATCTGGCTCGCTCTGAAAGTGATCAGCTCCGCTTTGAGAGCTCTTCTTCCTTTATAAACCCACACCTTTTCTCTTTTTCGTCAAGATCGTTATTGTTCAAAGCATTGCCTTTGGGTCATTCCTTCCAAGTGTTCTGATCTCTCTCACGGGCTGAATTCTGAATGAAAACGGGCGGATGCGAACGGCAGCCCCAAAGTGGTGCAAGCTTGACAGTTCACTGTTTTGTGCAGAGAGCAGCGCCTCGTGGGCGGACAGGCGCTCTCGACGCAACCTTTGTTTCGGGGGGTTTCTTGCTTTCCGAATGCCTCGGGGCGGGCAAATCCAAATTTGGAAAGACGTTTACACATTTTTCTTTCTAAGCACCCGCGTTTGTCTCTATCCATTCCAGAAAATTGTAAAGCAAGAAGTTTACAATCTGTATTACCACATGGCAGTCAATGATGTCCCGGAAGACTTTGTGGAGAGCGATACTCTCTTTTTCCTTAGGGATACTTCAGGTATTTTAACTGTGGAAATGAAAAAGACTTGGAGCAAAGCAGCGTGTCAGGAAGCTTCATATTGCAGAAACCCCTTTGTCCCCCTTTTCGTCCCATTTCATTTGCCAGGCCCTGACCGCTGTTTGAGGAACAGATAGCTGCTCGCCCATCCCGTTTCCTGACAAATGAAACATTCATCCCTTAGTTCCAGTTCTCTCCTTAACGAAGTCCCCAGTCTGTACCCAATGCGATGATCATACAAGCTTCCTCTATTCATCTCCCGTGCAGAATGTTGATTTACCAAAGTCCAAAGAGTTGGAGTGAGAGAATCTAATCCTAGTCAAGCTATCGTTGGTTGTTGCTTAGTAAAAATGATTGAGAACTTGGCTTCCGTATATGCCACGTTATTTTTTTCATAGTGCTGAAAGCAACTAACTTTGCTAAATCTACACCTGCAAGAAAATGGGTTTCTCCTAGGATTATGAGGGTTCAGGTGTTCCCCTCACATCAGAAACATCATTTGCTTACCAAGCTGGCATGTTAGTTATAAATAATCAGCTTGCGCTCTTAATGTGCTGTTTTTCTATGTGCAGAGAGAGGGGGAAGACATTCTAACATGCAGACCCTCTTCCCACTGTTTTCTGAATCCTAAACTTCCCAGGATCATGCTAGTACATGGTTTCCTTGGAATGTGTGCATGAGAAACACGGAGGTTATAAGGCCACCTCAGGGGTCCTTCTCCTCTTTCCCTGCACAGAAACTGTAACAGAACCCAATGACTTGGTGGAAGCGAATGATGTCTTGCCCGAAGTCTTGGAATACGGCATGCTGAACAGCCATACTCTGGTGATGCTCAAACAGATCTTCGCCCTGGTGAGAGGCTTTAGTCGGTTAGTTTTTATCCTCAGGCCTCCAGTGTGGCTTTGCAGAGGCCTAGATAGTGAAATTGAGGATGTGGGCACCCTTGTCTACAGAACTCCGGGATTCCTGCAGAAGTTTCTCCATAGAGGACACATTAATAGGTTCAAATAAAGTAGTATCCAGAGGAAAGAAACTTTTCTCCTTTCTTTCTCAAGTATTGCCCCTTATTGGAACTGATAAAGTCTTACAGCAACCCTGAGGAACCTAGGACTCTCCAGATGTTGCCAAACTACAACTCCCAGCATCCCTTGCTATTGGGCTGCTGCTGCCACTGCTGGAAGTTGCAGCTTAGCCCTAGATGGAGGGGCATGCAGATGCCACGCCTAAATTTGGGAAAGGGAAAGGGTGAAGCGTTTGTTGATGTCCAGTGAAAGGAGTAGAAAGCAGTAAAAATGCTGTTGTTGCAGGTGTTTCTGCCTGCCATGTGCCATAACCAGTATGGCTTGGAGGAGTCTATTACGCATGCAGAATCTGACAAGGCAGAGGGTGAAGATTCACAGTCTGCCCAAAAGGTGCCGAAGAAGCCACTGGTGTTAGATACTTTTCAGACTCTAAGGAATGAGTTCTTGATGAACATGCAAAAATTCCTGACCCATATTCAGAGGACCATCCAGCAGATTGAAGGTGAATTGTGATTCAGTGTTGGCCTACAGCTGCCATCACCAACCTGACCTTCTCCAAAAGTGAGAAGTGGTGCTAGCACTCACTAGGAACTCTGGATGCTGTTGGCCCAACACGGTTGACAGCATCAGACCGAGTGAGGTGTTCCCTATGCACCAGAGGCATCACAGGATGCTCAACTGAAGCTCTGTGCATGTGTGTTTTTTTTTAACCAAACAGGGGAAATTAAGTTAGACATGCCCTCAATGAGCTTAGAAGGGGATGCGAATGATCTTGCAAGTGACCAGGAAATGGTTGAATCGCTGGAAGGCCTTGCGAATGGTTGGCTCGTGTTAATCTCTTCTGCAAGTGAAGAGCTGCAGAAAAAGGTCCCTCAGGTAAACTGGTTTGAGCCAGTCTTATAATTCAGCATCCTCATCTTTCCTAAACATTTGGGTTTTTCAGCAGTCTCTTCATTTATGAGTCCCGAATCTCTTTATTTACAGGTCCCAAGATGATAAGAAAGTAAAGGAGAACCCTTCCTCGTTAGGACAGTTCTGTAGTTGTCTTGATGCTCAGGACATCCTTTTGACTCACTCTTTCAATGGGTAGATAATGTCTATCAGGGGATTGTCAGCCCTTCGAAGTAGTCCAGACAGGAAACCGAAACCATGAGTACTAATACCACCTTTATTGTAAGGCTACCGTAACAGATTCTTGCAAGACTGAAAGCGTTTCTCTCCGCTGCCTTTTCTTTCCAGAGAACTCGGGAGGGTATTTCTGAGGTGCTTTCTCCATCCCCATTCCTGCTGTGGGCTGAGATATCTTGTCAGATTGTTGTCTAGGCTGTGGGTCTTTCTCCTGTCTCCAGAGGTTATTCTCACAGCCCATTACATCAGTCAACATCACTAAAATTGAGACAGCCTCAAGGTGTCCTCCATTAATTTGCTATACTGCATTCCATGTGTCCACAGGAAGAAAACAGCCCAGCTCCTATAATGATGAAGGTTCAGAGACTCGTTCAGAATAACTTGCTTTCTTCCTCCCATCTGCAGGGGAATGGCCCGCTAGCAGAGATTGATCTCTGGCGGGAGAGGAACGCCACCCTGAGTGCCCTCACCGAGCAGATCAAGCTGCCCGTAGTCAGGAAGGTCCTGCAGGTGCTCGAAGTTGCCAACACAGGAATTGTGGATAACTTACAGGTGGTCATTAACGATCTCTGCAAGCATCACGTGGAAGCGGTGGACAACGTAAGGTTTCTTTCTACCCTGGAACGACACTTGAAGGTATGTTTTGGTCAGCTGATGAGTTGGATGAGAGAGATGCTCCTTCCCTAAATGGTCCCCCTGGTCAATGAGCATCATCTTTGCAGTTGGTTCCAGACAAAAACTAGCCATAGTTAACTGGCAACCTCGACCAGCAAGTATCTAGGTGGCGTCTACAAATTACTTAGCTTAAATTTTGAAAAACTGAAAACACCTGAAATCTCATGTGATTGCACCTGTTACAAGTTTTCAGTGTTCTCGTGTGAGACCTTGGGGAGAAGATCACCAAAATCTCAAGATGATTGTCCGTTAATTTTTTTTTTTTAATTTTGATGATATGGAATTAGGCACTGGAGCATGTTTGGGGGTTCTCAGTGACCCCTGACCCATTCCCTCCTTTTCTTTTCTCTCTTTGTCTGCTCTGGGTGCAATATGAATCACAACATGCACTTTTCCCTGGGCAGAATTTAACACACGGCACCGGCTTCAACGTGGTCTTGGACACAATACCTTCGCTGATGAACGCTCTGCGGATGGTCTGGATTATTTCGCGGCATTACAACAAGGACGAGCGGATGGTCCCCCTCATGGAGCGGATAGCCTGGGAGATTTCAGCAAGGGTCTGCAAAGTCGTGGACCTGCAGACTTTGTTCAAGTATGGGACGAATCCTTATTTGGGTTAGACTAGAAATGTTAGTGAACTCTGCTTTGTTCCCAAGATGTCTCTGATTGGCCAGAACTGGTGTAGATGTAGTATTGCAAATGGGATCCTACAGAACAGGAGCCAACCCCAGAAATTCTTGCTTCTTCCTGATCCTTTTTCTCTTCTTTTTTAAATCTTTCCCATCCATATCTGCCTTAATCATGTTTTAACCATGGTTACATCCACTCTGAAGCTGTCCGTACATAGACCCTCCTATTCCAAACACCCAGCATTTGTTTTTTACCCATGATGAGACATTTTAAACTCATTAACAATAAAAGCAACCAACCGACAAAATATTGGATTCTCTTCCCCTTTCTGCACTGAATACATGTTTTTTCTGTGTTCTTTGGCGGGCTCCAGAGAAGACAGGCAGCTTGCAAAAACCATGATGGTGGAAGCTAAACGAACCCTTGAAATTTGGAAGGAATCTTATTTCAATGTCCGGGCCAAAATTGAAGCGTCAGGAAGAGATGCCCGATGGGAGTTTGATCGGAAGCGGTTGTTTGAAAAGACGGACTACATGGCTTACATCTGCCAGGATCTCTACAACATATTGCAGGTAACAATCGGTGCAGAGATGTCGAAAAATTAGATTAGGGTGTGGCTTCCTAATTGGTGGTGCCCAGGCCGTGGGTTGCACACATATGCTGAAGTTCCTGCACACAGACAAATCTCTATTTCCAAATGAAAGTCGTGTAGGAAGCCCCTGAGAAAGAAATCTCGTTGGGACTTAACATGTTTGTGTCTGTCTGCAGATTTTTTTTAACATGTAAATATTCCTAAGCAGTATCCCTTACTTGTAGGTCCAAAGGATATAGGGTCCCTGACTAGGTTCAGCATCTCATTCCTTCTTCTGACCGTACCTTTTAGCTGTGTCAGCCCTTCAGGGTGGGCTAGGAAAAACACACCACAAGAAATACTGGAACTCTTATTTTATTGATAGAGGCTATCATAATAGCATCTGGAAAGTCTGGCAGCGTTTTTCCTTCCTCTTATCCAGAAAGAGTCAGGATGGGGCAATCTTGATTTTCTTTCTCACACCTTCATGTTTTCCAGGGTTAAGCTCATGTTTTATTAATGGTTGCAGCATATTTTCTTCATCCTCCTCTCCAAGCTCATTCACGTCTCACCTTTGACAACAGTCTGACTGCATTTCTTGCTCACCACCTCAAAATACTCTTTTCTCCCCACATAAGCAAAGTAAATTCCAAAAAAGAGCCCCCCAAAATAATACCCACTTCTGTCTAACCCAATAGGTCATGGAGGAATTTTACAACATCTTCGGGCCTGAACTGAAGGCTGTCACTGGAGACCCAAAGCGCATTGATGAAGTCTTGTACCGAGTAGACGGCTTGGTCAGCCCTATGGAAGTTCTGACGTTTGACCTGTTCAACATCCGATATGCAAACCAGTGGAAGCTGGTGATGGATGAGTTCAAGCTGGAAGTTCTGGTAAGCAGTAGAAGTATTGGTTAGTCATCCTCCCTTTCAGATTGCCCTTCTTTCTCTTTCCTCTTCTTCTTCATGACGCTCTCTGCTTTCTCTCTCATAAGCAATAGGCAGGCAAGAAAGGATAGAAGGAAGGAAGGAAGGGATTTCTGCACTGGTCTCAATCCGTTACTGACATTTGTTCAGCATGAATACTCCAGACATCCATGCCGTTCTACCTTCCAACGAGGCCATCTCTTCATCCTCCCTAACAGAAGTGTTGATTATTAATAGTCAAAGCCCCGTTAGTCCCTAGGCAAAATAGTTTGTGAAAGGACCTCTTGGAGAATTTTCTCACTGCAGCTTTCCTGTTTTCCAAGCTTCCCATTCATGAAAAGAAACAGTCCTCCTTAATGTTGTCCCCTCTTTATTTGTCTTATTTTTGTTCCTGTTAACTTACCTTCCTTGGCTTTCAGGACATTGAAAAAGAAGCAAAGAACTTCATCGACGAGTCTTTTAAGACCCTCCGCTCTGCAGAAGCGGCCTTTGATATGCTTTTGAACTTCAAGCACATCCGTTCCCGGGAAGCCATCAATAAACAGATGATGATGAAATTCAATGATATTCTGGCACAGTATTGCAAGGAGGTAATTCAGCAGTCCCTCTCAGGTGAAATAACTCCGCAGATCCCCCTTCTCCCCAAGTTAGTGTCCTCCAGTTGTGGTGGGCTGTCAGGATCAAGCAGTCTATGCTGCTGGTGTAGCTGTCTTCCTTTGCTGTTCACTCACAGCTTGAGATCGTGAACGGCATTTTTATCAACAATCTCACCGACCCTCCTTTGTGCAAGAACCACCCTCCGATGGCCGGAGCCATTTACTGGGCGCGATCTCTTTTCTACCGTATCAAGCACACCATTATTCGATTCCAGGAAGTGGAAGAGCTGCTGGCTAGTGAACGCGGAAAGGAGGTGGACTGCAATTCTGTGGCTAGTTACAAATAATAAGTATTTGTAACACCTTGGTGGTTTTGTTCTTGAGTAGATAGATAAGTTCTAGAGTTTGGGCTTGGCCTAGAAAGCTGCTGAGCAATTTTTTAAAAAATCCAACTGTTTCTTTGGGCTTGAAGTGCAGGATATAGATTTTTAGGCTGCACTTCAGCCTAAACTAGCAGCCCGTCCATCTCCATTTTTGGAGCCCTAGAATGGTCCTTCGCAAGTCCACATGCCCAAATATTGGTGGGAAAGTGCAAAACCTTTTAAGGAAGATCTCTCCAGTTTGGATTTGTCTATTTCAGGTGAAGCAAAAATACCTTGAAGTAGCAAAGAGGATGAAAGAATATGAAGATCTGAAGTATGACCAGTGGAGAAACATTACAGAAGACCGGCTCCCAGTCTTACTGAAAAAAACCCTCCTTGCTAGAGTTCATGCTTCCGGAGTGATAATTCAGTCAAACCCAGAAACCCAACAACCGGTGATTATAATCCTTTCTGTAGACCAACTCTCTTGGTGTCTGTGGAAGGCAGAGAGATTGGACAGGTGGTTTTTCAAGTTTGTGAGTTAAGTTAGCCAACTTTGGCTGATACAGAAAAGCTAAGCAGCGTCCAGCTTGGTGAATATTGTATGGGAGCCCACAAGGACCTCCTAAGGCTGTAGGCAAGTCAGCATAGCTGAAGAAGCGTTGCAGAAAAAGTTGCTGGTAAATCATTTCCCTGTTGATGGTTGGTATCTACAACATCACCATGCGTCCTCTTAATTTGAAGGAGAGTTCTCATTTATTCCTTGTCTGTATTCCATCCCTTCTCAGGTGGTCTTCCAGGTGTTATTTTAACTGCCTTGTCTTACTCCAGCGATGGTCGATCTTTTCTCATGCAGAGCACACATTCGGACGAGACAGAAGCCACTGGAGAGAAGAGCCCCCGTTTTGTTGTCAACTTTTCACCCAGGCTTCGGGAGATCATCAATGAAACAAAGTACATGGAGCATCTGGGATTCCCTGTGCCTGAAATAGCAAAGAATGTGGCCTTGCAGGAAGACAAATTGCTTCGGTAAAGATGGAGGGCTCTGGGGGCGGGGGGACTTGGCCTCCCTTGTTGGGCAGGTCTGTATTCCTACTCTTAAAATCATATTCCAGGGGTGCAGATGTGAGTGTGTTGTCCAAAAACTAAAGTAGGCCTGTTAAGCTTCTCTGAGCCTCAACACACCACTTTGTTTAGGAAAATGATTGGAAAATCATGATCCTGTTATTTAGCACACTAAGCTCTTGGGGCCAGTGAAAAAAGGGACTGAAACAGCAGGTGGATTGAAAGTGCTCCTCCTCAGAAGCCTGTCTGTCTGTTACAAAGAGTTTGTTCCTCATTTGAGGATCTGAACTCTAATACCCTGTTTCTTCAAGTACCATACAACTTGCTGTCTTTCAGACAAATAGGTATGGAATGGGAGGGGTCCCCAAGGTGTACTTCTCGTGATCCAGAGCCACAGGGGGGCAGGAATCTCTTGTCAATAGAGGCCTTGGCTTCAGGGCCAGTGTTTCAGGTGTCACTTTTGAATATGTAGGAGACCCACTGTTCCGCAGTGACTTTGCTAGGTAGGTGGAAGGCTGTTTGTAGATGAAAAACATCTCAGGAATTGCCAGTTTGGAAGCCTGAATTCTTTGGTGCTTCCTTGGTGTCTTAGATACACTGATGGCATCAAGCAGATGCTGGATCGCTATCACCAAGTAATAGGAACTTTGGATGAGGCCGAGATGCAGCTCCTGGATGAACACGTGCAGGACCTTTGGCGGGTTTTCCGATCTGGTTACAAAAGACTCAACTGGAATTCCTTAGGTAACCTACTTCACATCATAAACACACTTTAAGGGGAGGATCTTCAGTTAAAATTTATTAAAGTGTCGTTTTACAGCACCTTCTGGTCTTTGTTTGAGCGGAATTTAGTGGCTGGCTATCTCGGTTCCTGTTGTTGAATGTTGTGAGTGTGTGTCTATGTTTTTCATAATGTGAATGTCCTAAGAGCTCCCTAACATGAGAGCTCTTCCCCTTCCTCACGCAGATACACACAAGCACGCACCTGTGTATAGTGGTGAACGTGACACAATGACTTGGTTTCACAGGGATTGGTGACTATATTACGCGGTGCACCCAGGCGATCGGGAAGTTCGAATCCCTTGTCCATCAGATTCACAAGAATTCCGAAGACATACTGAACAAACTTTTATTAATAGAATCAGCCAATCTGTTCAAAAGCCCACCTTCCAAAGGGGATAGTTATCCAGGTACGTGGCCCACTCTTTTTTGTTTGTTTAGCTTATTTCTAACCCAGATGAAGCAACATTTACTGTGATGTAAGAGGTGGTTGCAACCACCATGGCTGGTGGTTCCATCAGTGGGGGAAACATGGCGTAAATACAAACAGTGTTCAACTGTCACGAGCCATTTTAAAAATGGTACCCTCTCCCCTTATGAACAGCATGGCCCAGAGTTGAGGCGAAGCATGGAAATGAACATGGTTCTTTATCTCAAGGGCTGTTGCAGGCGGTATTTGCTCCTAGGTTGTGTGAAACGTTCCTCAAGAAAATCTGAAGCATCAACTGTTGGATTTTGGAAGCTTTCCAAAAGGTGGTTTGCCAACTTTTGTCTGAATTCAAACAAGATACCTGCAATGAATGAAGCCGTTTCTCGTGAATTATTTTAAACCCTCGTTAGCCACTAGCACCTCATCTTTCATTTTGTCCCCTCACCCGGACAGGTGTGAAGGATTACTTTGAGTTTATCAAGCACGAAAGATCCAGGGACATGGAGCACATGGTTCGCAAGTACATCTCAGTTGGGCCCCTGCTAACCAAAATGGAAGGCCTTGTGGTGAACACCAACACAGGAAGAGCCTCACGGCTTGTCCCGTATTATGCCTACTGGGAAAAAAAAGTTTATCAGACCTTGACAAACTTGGTACTGAAGTAAGTTTGCCAACCCCAGTTGTTTCTCTTCTGTCTCTCGTGGTTTGTTCCCGGACCACAGCGCTGACTGGTTTCCTCTCTCTGAAGGAATTTGCAGTCCTTCAATGCAGCCGTGATGGGGAACACCCCACTCTTTCAAGCAGAGACCATTTTGTCTGCCCCCGAAATCATCCTCCAGCCAAATATGGGAGAAATTGAGAAAATGTGTGTCCATTGCATTCGAGACTGTGTGGAAACTACCAAGGTGAGAATCTTTGGTTTCTTTGGAAGAGGTTCACTTGGGCATCAGGCACTTTCATTCCTACCAAGCACGTAGCCGCCTCTCCCGTAGTAACTGGTTCTCACACAGAGAGAAACAAATCAAACAATACCAAATCTACCAGTTGCAAAACCAAAGAAGCCATGGAAACTGGGCCTCCTGCTGAAAAGAGGGGGCTGAGCAGCCAGTTATGTAGGTGTAGAGGGAACAGGGAATGGCCTTGAAGGACAGGAGGAAGACCCACCACTAGGGCAATGGTCAGATAAGAGGGCCTTGAGCCTCGGCCAAGAAAATAACTTGAGAAAGCATCTCAGAAAGACCCTTCATAGTTCTCACGAAGGCTTGCAAGATTCTGTTACTACAGCGGTTATAATAAAAACAGTCCTGGCCTATATGGCATTGTTTTCTTAGTCTGGTCTACCTTGTTGGGCTGACAGTAGGACTGGAAAGGCAAAGAGGGTTAAATCCTGATTCTATCAATAGGACTTGCTCTTGAAACACAGAGTCACTAGAACCCTTTCCTTATGGCTTCCTAGCTTTTCTTCAATAAATACTGCTTATGCAGAGTTCTTGGATTCTTGTGAGCTTTATGGATTGGATCCAGTCCTGCCTGCCAGTTGAAGCCTCCCAGCTAATGTGTTTCAAGAGTAGGTCCAATTTATTGATCTACTTGGCCTCCTCTTTTTTGCTGGAGGCTTGGTTTCCACCTGTCCCTTATTTTTCAAACTGGCAGGTTTGCTAACAATTTGTTTCTCTCTTGACTGTGTGAGAACTAACCCTCTCCACTGCTTCCAAAGTCCAGCCTGGCCTGAGAATCTTCCTTTGCCTCCGTGTAGCTCTTCGTTCGCTGGATGCATGGCACTTGCATTGAATGCCCGCCCCAGCAAACCGGCGACGATGAGCCTGTCATCTTCAGCTTTTTTAGCGACATCTCCCAGAACCCAGTGATCATTGAGCAGGCCATCCTCATCACTCAAAACATGCACAAGCTCCTGGGCTCTCTCACCAAATACCTGAACCGTTGGAAGCGGTATCGGCCCCTGTGGAAACTGGACAAGGCCATTGTCATGGAGAAATTTGCTGCCAAGAAGCCGCCCTGTGTGGTTTTTGATGAGAAACTCCAGTTCTACATGAAGGTGGCCCAGGAAGTCATGCAACAGCCCATGGTCAAAGATGAGCAATGTGTCCGCCTGCTGCTGGCACCGTTGGCTTTCACGGTCCAGGAGAATGCCAGAGGTTGGGTGAATTCACTCGGGAAGCTGCTCAATGAATCCGCCAAAGAGGTGCTATACAGTCTCCAAGAAAACATTGAGGTAGGTTTCTCCAGCTGGGGATGTCACCTTCATCCCACCATCCCTGGAGAGGACAGAGGAATGGGTGCAGAAAAGATCAAACAGATATACATGACTGGAGTCCAAGCCCTAGGCACAAATTACAAACTGGCCCAAGGGGATTTTCAAGGCAAGTCAGACATCATCCTGCTTTCGCTGTATTTTTCTGAATAATGTATTTCATTCCAAGGTCTTGAGTACCAATGCTTCAGTTCCTTGCTAACAATCCCTGAGCTAAGAAATGCTGACGGAGTCTGGACAGCAGTTTCAGCAAAAGGGTTCTTTGCAGTGTTTGAATTAATGACTAAATGCATGTGCTTTCCAGAGATTATCACATAACCTGAAAACGACTCCCAATACCCTGGAAGATCTGAAATTTGTCTTGGGCACAATAGCTGAGATCAAAGATATATCTCTAGAAGTGGAACTCAAGTATTTGGATATTCTGGAGAGATACCGTACCCTGGCCATGTACAACATTTGTGTAAGTTTCTTTGAATGATGTCAGAGATGCCAAGGTAGCTGCCAGACTAAGGTCCAGCATGGATGAAGGAAAAAATCGCTGGGGATTGGATGGCCTGTAGCATCTGGCTAGCTTTTTATATTATTATATATATTATATATAAAAGTTAAGGACCGCTCTCCAGACAGTCCTGAGCCATATAATCCACACCTTTCCCCTAAATAACTGAAATCTTTGAGCTGTCTAAAGAAATGCCATCATTCCTCCACCCCAGATAACAGAAGAGGAACGGAACCTGGTGAATAAGATAAAACTGATGTGGGAAACTCTTTTTTCTGATGCGGCAGGAGTTGATCACAGCCTTGGCAGCATCAAAAAGACTTTTACTGAGGTACTGGGGTTTTCACCTTCCAAGATGAAGGAGAAGAGCATTCAGAAGCAGGAATGATCTTCTAATTTGGATTGTGTCTCTTAGATCACAAGGGAGCAGATTGGAAACTACAACAAGGAAATCGATGATTTCTACCATAGGTTTGTTACTGAGGGGCCAGGTTCTGTTGGTGAAAATCTTGACAGAGGTAAGAAAGTGCATGCTTTCTGACATCACACAGCTTGAAAGCAGAGCAAAAATGTTGCAATAGATCAAAGGTCCTAGGTCATAAGATTCTCTTTCAGGAGAATGCAAACGCTACCTCCACCCTGTATGTTACGGTGCTTCCTATATGTTACATGCTGCTTCCTACCACAGGCCTCATTTGTCCAATTCCCGATGGTTCTGGTCATATTTTCTTCACATCCTATGGAACCTGGTGGCATAGTAGCACTAGAAGTTGGTATAGTCATGGATGGGCTTTAGGAGAAATGCTGAGAACCAAGATGGTTCAAAGCAGGGTAGCTTTTGCCTCCTGGGCATATCTTCACTTTTAGCAACTGAAGAACTTTGAAGAGATATTTCGCTGGGTCAGAAATTTCTGCTAGTTCCATCCTATCTATATCTTCTACATCAGTGACTTCTAACTGCCTGTCTTTATTTTCTGATGTTTTAAGGGGAGGTTTGAAGCAGAGAATTCTTGCACATGGAAGGGGATTCAGAGAAATGTTTAGATACATTCCCTATCTAAGAGAAACTTAGCTGCTATGACTTTGGTGATATTCCCATTGAGAAATTGCAACTTCTTGATCTATTAAGGCCAATTGTAGATCATGTAGAAGACCTCCCTTGCCCTGCTTCAAATTCTTCTTGTGGTTTCCCATCCTTTGCTCGGTGCTGAATATTATTTGTTGTCAACTGCAGGATTAGAGCTGATGGTGGTTTTTGAAAAAGAACTGGAGAAACATGAGAGGAACCGTCAAGAGCTGGCCAATGCAGAAAAGCTGTTTGACCTTCCCATCACAATGTATCCTGATTTGATCAAAATCCAAAAAGAAATGAAGGGCTTGAGGCAGATCTATGAAATCTATAAGCTGCAGCAGGTAGACGGTTTTTGAAAATCAGTCCAACTTTTATTCAGAGTCACAGATCCAGATCACATGTTGTAAACCAAAATTAGAGTTTTGTGTGTTCCCCACCAGCACCTGACCATTGTGGTCTACCATTCTGGATTATCCCCATGCTCTCTGTTCAGAAGAATAAGAAGATACTTGCTATTTGGCTTGTTGTCTCAAAGAATCTTTATTTTGGTACCTTTGATCTGATAATCTTCTGCCTGATCTCTTTGCCAATTTGAAGATGTTCTTACAAGACATTTCCTGGTTCTAGGCTGCCAAAGAGGAATGGTCCCAGACCCTCTGGGTGAATCTTAACGTGCAGGTGTTACAGGATGGAATTGAAGGATATCTGAAAACCCTTCGCAAATTGCCAAAACACGTCCGTGGCATGCCGGTGGCATATCACCTAGAAATGAAGATGAAGGCTTTTAAGGAGTCCATTCCTTTGCTGCTGGATTTGAAGAATGAAGCATTGCGAGAGAGGTTTGGCTTCTGCTCATCCACGGGGGGGGCGGGGGGGTTGTCTATAGCTTTGAAAGCTCCATTAAACTTGTGCATTTTAAGTCACAGTTTGGGAAGCATGGCCTGGGGTAAATCGATATAAACAGAATGAATTTCTCCTCCTGTCTCTACTGGAAACCAAGCACTTTGGTCATTTGAATCCACACGTGACATATGTTGACCTTCTTTCAGACACTGGAGGGAGCTAATGACAAGAACAGGCACAAGTTTTGATATGGCGACTGAAACCTTCACATTAGAGAACATGTTTGCCATGGAACTGCATAAATATTCGGATGTGATCAATGAGATTGTGGGATCCGCTGTCAAAGAGCTGAGCATTGAGAAGGTAAAATTGTCTTCTAGCACCTCTCTGTGTTTCAGTCCTCTCCGGTAACCACCAGAGCAAGCTCTTAGAACTTCTTTGTTTCCTCTCCTAGGGAGTGAAGGAAATCATTGAAACGTGGGAGAACATGAAATTTACTGTGCAGCGGTACTTCAAAGGGACTCAGGAACGGGGCTTCATTTTGGGAACTGTCGACGAGATCGTTCAGATCCTGGACGATAATGCCGTCAACCTTCAAAGTATTTCTGGCAGCAGATTTGTGGCACCTTTTCTGGCAACTGTCCATAACTGGGAGAAAACCCTCTCTTTGATTGGTGAAGTGATTGAGGTAGGGAGGCTGGTACTCCAGGTGGCCATGTTGGCCCTCTTTGAGGGCAGATTATGTTTTGCTAGCCTCCCTGCTCTTTGTCAAAGCAGCGTTTAATTTCTCTAGGTCTGGATGACTGTTCAGCGAAAATGGATGTATCTGGAAAGTATCTTCATAGGCGGAGACATCAGATCGCAGCTTCCTGACGAGGCTAAAAAATTTGACAACATAGATAGGATATTCAAAAGGGCAAGTAACTAAACTGCATATTAATGGAGATGCTGAGTAACAGGAGTGTGCTGCCCCTCAAAATGAGAAACTCCCTCTGGGATTCAGAGATATAATGGTGACCAATTAAGTATTGAACTGGCTTCCTCAGTAATGTAGGGCTCAAGTCAAGATATTGATTGGAATCTATAAAGATCTAAATAGCTCCAGACTCAAGTGGTAGTACCCCCTGAGTAGACTGAGAAGATTGAGATGGTCACTGAGAAGGCCCTCAAGAAATACCTGGTTGACCTAAGAGTGTGCTAGGGGGCCATTGCTCCAAAACCCAAAAGCCATCAGACACAGATTCAGATTCAGATGGCCACATTAGCCTGTCACAAGATATTGAAGACCTAGCTGTTCTCCCAGGCATTTGGGTCAGGGTGGAGATGAGTTGGGTGGTTAATACTTTATCTTTGGGCACCAGGGGGTTTATGTTTGGGAGTTTGTTTATTTTTAATCTCGTAAGCCACCCAGGGTCACTTGTGTGTGATGGGCAGCTATATAAATGATGTAAATAAACAGATTAATTAATTAATTAAAAGTAATGTTTTGGCTTGTATTTCATGGAACGTTTCTGTAAACTCTTGTGTTCCTAAATGCTTGGATTTACTTTTTTATAGCATAATGTTTGTTTTTTGTTCCGTGCTAGCCAACTTTAAGGGAAGAGGTATATATTATTATCGTTCACAGTATTCACCGTTAGTAGTTTTCAGCATCTTCCTCCCCCTCCTCCTGTTACCTGCAGATAATGGGAGAAACGGTCAAAGACCCAGTGATCAGGAGATGCTGTGAAGCTCACAATCGTCTTTCAGACCTTCAGAACATAAGTGATGGGCTGGAGAAGTGCCAGAAAAGCTTGAATGATTATCTGGATTCCAAGCGAAATGCCTTCCCACGGTTCTTTTTCATCTCTGATGACGAACTGCTTAGCATCCTTGGAAGCAGCGATCCCTTATGTGTTCAGGAGCACATGATTAAGGTAGGGGATGGGAAAATCCACACAACAATTAAACATCCTTCATCTTCTCCCTTTTGGCTGTTGCCGGTGGCTTTTGCCATTAGATTATAATCCCTTTCTTGAAACAGGAGGCTAGAATAATATAGTTGCTGGCTCTTGGTGTCCAAGGAAGCAGGAAACATAGACCCTCCCAGCCTGTCCTCCTTTGGTTAAGGAAGATGTATTTGAAGATAATAGTTTTTCATGTTAGGAATTAGCAGAACTCACTAGTTGGGGAACAGGAGTGGTCCAACCCCGAAAGAGGCATGTTTCATCTGGAATGTCACATCTGGGATACCTCAAACTGCCTCTAAGAAGCATTGGACCACCTTTGGATTGACATGGCTCAGAAAAGATTTGGCACGTTCCGTTTCCAAATCGGTTAGTTCTGCACAGCTCTGGTTCACATCATGCAGTGTGAGGCCTGCTGTGAAAAAGTTCTAAGAGAGGGTTTCACATAAACAGTGAAAAAGTAAAGAAGCTTCTCTCTGACTTCAGATGCACAAGAGGAGGAGGGAAGAGGAAAAAGCAAGGTCAGTTATTAATCTGAGTTATATCATTCCTGACAGTAAATTTGAGAATCCTTTCCTGGCTTGTGAATACACCCCAAATTGTAAACGCCTGTCCTTTTCATTTGTAAGCATATTTCTGCCAATCTGCTTAGAAAAATACCTGCATTTTCTACATGGCAGATGCTGAAATTGCCCCATGTGACCTCCTCCCATTCTGGTCTTGTTTCAGATGTATGACAACATAGCCGCCCTGAAGTTTCAAGAGGACGACAGTGGGATGAAGATCGCCACTGCTATGATTTCTGCAGAAGCTGAAGTGATGGAGTTCCGGAAGGCTATCCCAGCCGAAGGCCGAGTTGAAAACTGGATGACGGCGGTGCTGGTTGAAATGCGGAGGACCAACAGGCTGATCACCAAGGAAGCCATCTTTCGGTATTGCGAAGACCGAAGCAGGTGAGGGAATCAGGAGCAGGCAGCAGATTCCAGAAAGATGAATTGAGTCTGTATTGCTGGTCCCCCAACAGCATTATGACTTTGGCAGTCCAAGGTCCAAAGATGGGGCTATTGAGTCTGCTCCCTAAACTTCAGTTTGGGGCTATGTTATTGAATTGGAAACATGGAGAATAGGGGTGCTGCTTGCTCTGACAGGCAGACCAAAGTCATCATTTTCCCCTCAATTCTGCTGCCCAATCAGGAAAGTTTTTGGTAGAAAATAGTCTTCATGTGGTTCATTGGCTTGAACCAAGGATTAAGATTCCCCCTAAACTGGTTAAGAATGCTGGGAAGTTGTCCTAGGAGGCATCCGCCTGGGAAGAAATTGTTTAGTATCACACTAGGAACTAGTGCTTGGCTCTGTCCCATTATTCCAGAAGCAATCAGGCTCTTGAAGAAACATCATTCCCTCATTACTATTTTATACTCTTGCTTAACGCCTGCATTTCTACAGCTCCAGTCATCAAGATAAAGGAACATAACCAGGATCCAAGTATCAGGGAAGATGTTTTCTATTTGTTTTATCTCTGCCAACTCTGCAAATCTGCCTTTTCCGTAGAGTTGATTGGATGCTAATGTATCAGGGCATGATGGTGCTGGCAGCCAATCAGGTGTGGTGGACCTGGGAGGTGGAAGATGTCTTCCGGAAGGTGAAGAAAGGGGAGAAACAAGCCATGAAGATCTATGCCAAGAAAATGCACCAGCAGATCGACTCACTGGTGACACGGATCACCAAGCCGCTAAGCAAAAATGACAGGAAGAAATACAACACGGTTCTCATCATTGATGTCCATGCGAGGGATATTGTTGATACGTTTGTACGAGACAGGTAATTGCAGCTTGGAGGTAAAGTAGGAACAACTACTGAACAGTTCAGTAAAGTTCAGAGTCACCCACATGGACATGAATGGGATGTTCATACAGGTAGTGCTTGATCTACAACCATTCGATCACTGTTCCAAGCTATCATGGTGCTGAACAAATGGTGGTTATGACTGGTCCTCAGAGTTCCAGCCATCCCAGCACCCCTGCGGTCACATGATTGTGTTTTGAGTCTTGGCAACCCATTCACACGACTGGTTGCCAAGCACCCCACAATCACGTGATCACCATTTGCCACCTTCCCTGCTGGCTTCCCCAGAAAGTCAGTGGGGAAGCTGGCAGGAAAGGTGGCAAATCGCTGGGGCATGTCTCCCCCACCCGCACACCTTCCTCCCTTAGCCCCTCTGTGCTCATGCTGCACTGGCCACTTGCGCACCCCTGCATACCCTCCCTGACCCATGCCACACCAGGACTGCAGGGGTTGCCATTGCTAAACGATGCTGTCATGCTTTATGGCCACATGGCTTAGCAATGGAAGTTCCAGTCCCGATTGCCGTCATAAGTCGAGGACTACCTGTAATCCTCCTTACTGTACTTTCAATGTAAAAATAATGAATTTGGAGGGACTCTGACAGTTCCTTTTTCCACTTCTCAATGTTTTGGTAGTTTTCTTCTTCTCTCTTTGTTTTCTTCTTCTCAGTCTTAGAAGAGCTCTCTGACATGTTGAAATTCTCTCTCATCAGCATTATGGAAGCACGTGAATTTGAGTGGGAAAGCCAACTGCGTTTCTATTGGGACCGAGAGCCCGATGAGCTCAACGTGAGGCAGTGCACAGGGACCTTTTCTTATGGCTACGAATACATGGGCTTAAACGGGCGTCTGGTTATCACTCCACTCACAGACCGGATATATCTGACACTCACACAGGTAAACCAATAAAGAGTCTTTCTGTTTGCTTCTGGCCCTGGAGGGCTTTTTAAAAAAAGCAGATCTCAAATCTGGAGAATTTAAACCAGCAGAATATGGCCCACCACCGACCTGTCCCAGAGTTTGGGGGAAAAGCCAAGTTTTAAGGCTTGCAGAGTTGGGTGGTCTGAACCTCAGGGGGATGCTGTTCCAGAGGGTGGGGGCCACAACTCAGCAGTGAACTTCTTGCCTTAGTGATGAACCAGTAATTACTTCCCAGGTCAGGATCGAAGTGCCATTGAGGCAGAATTTGTAGCCACCATCCTAGCAGTGTTTTTCACCTTCTTTTCCTCCAAAGGCCTTGTCCATGTACTTGGGCGGAGCTCCTGCTGGTCCAGCAGGAACTGGGAAGACGGAGACAACGAAGGATCTTGCCAAAGCTCTGGGCTTGCTTTGTGTGGTCACCAACTGTGGAGAAGGCATGGACTTCAAGGTCAGGAATTCGTGCTATCCCCTTCTCCATCTTCTACGCTGTGGCCCTAAGAATTCAGCCCTGCTGGCCAACTGGACATCAGTGCAGCCATCTCATCTTATGTGCATTGTCCTCTTTTTTAGGCTGTGGGTAAAATCTTCTCAGGCCTTGCACAGTGCGGAGCGTGGGGTTGCTTTGATGAATTTAATCGGATCGACGCTTCCGTGCTTTCGGTCATCTCCTCTCAGATTCAGACGATTCGAAATGCTCTCATGAACCAGCTGAAAACCTTTCAGGTAAAGAGGGAAAGAAAAGGAGTCTTCCTGCATGAATTCTGGTCCTAACAGCCAGATCCAGGGTCTCTTGGCCCTTGGCTTAGGTTTACATTTCAGTTTGAAGGACAAGAAATCGCTCTGGATCCTCGGATGGGCATTTTCATCACCATGAACCCTGGCTATGCAGGACGAACCGAGCTTCCTGAATCCGTAAAGGCCTTGTTCAGGCCCGTGGTCGTCATTGTGCCCGATCTGCAGCAAATTTGTGAAATCATGCTGTTCTCTGAGGGGTTTCTCATGGCCAAGGTGGGTCACAGTGTCATTGCAAAGGGCTGGGCCTCGGTCTGAATCAATGCAAAGAGTAGAAGGGAAGTTTTTTTGTCCAACAGATCCTAGCCAAAAAGATGACTGTGCTGTACAAGTTGGCAAGGGAACAGCTTTCTAAACAGCATCACTATGATTTTGGGCTTCGGGCTCTAAAGTCTGTCCTGGTAATGGCCGGTGAACTGAAAAGAGGGTCTCCAGATCTCCACGAGGTAAACTCCTTTCGGCTCATTGATAGATGGTCAGCTGCCTTGCAGCTGAAACAACCAAGAGACTTGTGACTCCTTGAAAACAAAGTTTAACTATGGCAGGAGTTTTTAGTCATTGAAAGTATTTCATCAGATGCCCAGATTTGACTCTACGGTGGATTCAGGGGGTTATCAGCTGCTCCAGACTGGAGCTTCTTGCTTGTCTGAACATGTGAAGAGAAAGACTTACCATAAAAATCACCCAGAAATTAGTCCTCAGATTCCCAACTGACATGACCAGTGGCTTTTAAACAGGACCAGAGCATCACTTTAACCTAATCTTCATGATATTTCAACTGCTTTACTTATTCCAACAAGAGTAAAGTAGATCTCCATCTCCATCATCCTCTTTATTTATAGTCAAAGACCTAAAGCATAGAAATTAAAATAATGATCCAAGTTTAAGTACAACAGGATACATATCTGATATAATCATCATTTAATCTTGTAGCTCTGTATTGATGTGGGTGTCTAAAACCATGAGTTCAAACACTGATTTAAGAAGGCTCCTTGATTAGAGTTCCCTTAATTCTACAAATCAGTTGTTGATTGGTATAATTGAATTATCTTTCAAGAGCATGCTGATTTAATTAAGTTTTATCTCCTTTTGTCATCTTGAGATGAATTTTGCTAATGGGAAATTGTGTGGGAGGCCTCATCTCTTGGGCGGGGTCCTTTTAATAGGAAAAGTGTATTCAAGAAACTCAGCTTTGTTCACCAATATTTTTAATATTTCTTTCGGGTCAAACACCTCTAGGATGTGGTCCTCATGAGAGCCCTGCGGGATATGAACCTCCCCAAATTTGTCTTTGAAGATGTTCCCCTTTTCCTGGGCTTGATCTCGGATCTTTTCCCCGGACTGGATTGCCCCCGAGTGCGCTACCCCAAATTTAACGATGCAGTTGAGCAGGTGCTGGCTGAAGAAGGTTATATTGTTCTACCTGTTCAGGTACTAAATTAAAGTTATTAAGCTCAAAGATATGGTCAAAACATAGCCAAATCTTTTGGCATTCGTGAAGTCTGTCTGCCAAACTTCATCAAGCCATCATGCAGTTGTCTGAAACTGAGAAGACAGTCATTTAGATTATCAGTGACCTTGAATTCCATGAAGTGGGCTTCTGTTGATTTCTATTCCTGGCCAAGACAGCTGCCATTCTGTATTTTTATCTCAGGTGGATAAAGTGGTCCAGATGTATGAAACAATGCTAACGCGTCATACCACAATGGTGGTTGGGCCAACTGGAGGCGGCAAGTCTGTGGTCATCAACGCCTTGTGTCACGCTCAGACAAAGTAAGCATAGATCCATCAGGGACTTCTTCAGTTCCTGCTCCATTATTGAATGGAATTTGGTCATGGTGGATTTGGCTGTATTGACAAATTCATGGAAAGTCTGTCTGTGAATTACAATAATTCAGGAGTTCAAAAATATGACATCCATGAATATCAGCTACATTATCAATAGCAGGGTGACTTCTGGCTTTTCCTGCTGGTGAACTTTGTGGAGACCTTTGTTAGCTACTATGGGAAATGGGATACTGGAGTAGGATGAGCTTTGTTCTCAGTTGGCACATTTGGGACATGACAGGATTACATATCAGAGCTCTTTTGGAACATTATTGATCTAATTCTGCTTTTCGCAATTGCTATCCCATTAGATTAGGACTGCTGACTAAGCTGCATATTCTGAATCCCAAAGCCATGAGTGTGATTGAATTGTATGGCATCCTAGATCCCACCACACGAGACTGGACAGATGGAGTTTTGTCCAACATCTTCAGAGAAATCAACAAACCCACTGACAAAAAAGAGAGACGGTAATTGCTGGAGGGCTAGATCCATGTTTTTCAACTGGGAAATCTTCGGATTCCTTGACCATTCCTTCAGAGTTCCACTCAATATTGAGACTGTTAAAAAAAGTAGTTATTACCTGTTTTGTTTTATTTTACTTTTTGATTTCGGGGGAGTAGAAGGGCGATAGAGGCCTGGGTGCCAAACATTACAGTCAGCCCTTTGAGTTATGCTGAGTTTCTTTCTCAAGCTCTCCTCAATCTTTGAGGATTGAGTAATCTTTGCTCCAAAGACCTCCCTTAATGGCTTGTTCATTCCTTCCCCATTCTTAAGGCTAACTGTACGTTCCTTAACAATTATGGCTATCCTACCAGCCCCCCTCCTCCCATATTTGAAAGGTGCTGGTGTATACATTACGTTCTCAGATCCTTGATGGTTTCCATACTGTTTTCCCCTAAGTCTTTGTACTTACTCCCTATAAATGCCCATCGATCCAGTGAAACTCACATACTAAATGGAATAAGAACTGTTTGTCTTCAGTGCATTTTTTTCCAATCTGGGTGCACAGGTACATATTATTTGATGGTGATGTAGATGCTCTCTGGGTAGAAAACATGAATTCTGTGATGGATGATAACAAACTGTTGACCTTGGCGAACGGGGAGCGAATCCGGCTTCAAGCCCATTGTGCCCTTTTATTTGAGGTAAGGCTTGTCCCATGATGCAAATTACTTTGTGCTTCCTCCTTTCTGTGGAAGGAGCCTCACCTATTTCCAGCCCTGCCTTCTTCAATCCAACACGACATTCCTATAGCGCCCATCGAGTCTTGGAGCTTCTTGTAAAAGTGTGGACTTCCTTTATAGGTTGGAGACCTACAGTATGCTTCACCGGCAACTGTATCACGCTGTGGGATGGTCTTTGTGGACCCAAAGAATTTGAAATACAGACCTTATTGGGATAAATGGACAAAACAAAGGAGCAAGGTAAATAACTACTAATGGTGACCTTGGAACTTCTTTGGAAGATCACTACTGATGATTGATTCTTCCATATGTCTGGACAAGCTTGTGTGAAGCCACTTGAAAAACAATGGTATAGTTCACACTATATGATAAAACTTGCATCTCATAAGATTCCAACTCAAGCTTTGGTTTGTTAAAGGAGCTGCTGTCTTTTGTGATATTGTCCAAAAGCCATATTAAAGGTTATGTTCCCAAGAGGAAGAAGAATTCTGAGGTCCCATTCTTCTAATTTAGAATGACTTTGTTTTTGCTGTGTTTTTCCAGCAAGAGAAACAACTGTTGGACAGATTCTTTGACAAATATGTACCCCTCTTGATCGAAATGATTGTAGAAGGGATTGTTGATGGACGACAAGGAGAAAAATTGAAGATGATTGTTCCGCAGACGGATCTGAATATGGTAAAAAATCCCATTTTTTTAATTAAAGTAGAAGAACGTTGTGCCAGAGGTGTGTGGTTTGGTCTCAGTCCAGTCTGTGTTTTGTTTCTTCTTATTTTTGTTAGTTTAATAATGTTGCAGTTTAAAAAAAAAACTGGAAAATCTGCATTCATTGTCATTTGCTACCTTGCTAACAAGCAGAATTTGGGCATAAGATTGAGAAGAATTTACAGCTGGCCCTATCTAGAATCCTCCAGGATTGGGGCATGTTAGAAATGCTAATAAACAACTATTTATTTGTTAATAAGCAAGCTTCTTTTGGACCTCTTTTCAAGCTTTCTTCCCCATCTGCCTTAATTTAGGAATTTCAGAGGTGGGAATAGAGATCATGATTGATCATTGAACTACAACAGTGAGGAAAAAGTATAGTTCCTTCCCTGCATGATCACATTCCCTTCCCTTTAATGTTGCAAAGGGTTTTGTAGGGTGCTTTGGCCTTTCTGTTTTCTCTTTTGCTGCTAATGAAGCCATTTGCAACTGCCTTCTCTCTCATCCTTCTTTAGGCCCAGCAAAAGAATTGGGGCTGCTTTTTAACTGTACTATTGGACAAATTTATGACCAGGAGATGATGTTTTTTTCAGCTCTGTGGTTTCATCTCACAGGTGACTCAGCTAAGCATGATGCTAGAAGCTCTGATTGAGGTCGAGGTGGAGGATCCTGATGTGCTTGAATGCTACTTCCTGGAAGCCCTTTATTTCTCTTTAGGAGCCTGCCTTCTTGAAGCAGGAAGGTGCAAATTTGATGACTTTATCAAACGTATCTCTTCTATGTCAACCGTCAACGACGAGATGACTTTGGCAAAACCAGGAGAATTGCCAGGTTTGTCGTAGTTGGTTTTATATCACAGAAGAAACCCTTTTCCTCTTCCATTTTGCAGTGAAAGAAGATGAGGGACCATCAGCCCTGTTTTCCAGGTGCTTCAGAAGATCATCTCACGCAGCTTGTCTTTCACGATTGTAGTTCTAAGATGTCACAATTGCTCTCTCCTGCAGGGCAGCTCCCCACCTTATATGACTTTCATTTTGACGGGCATACGAGAAGGTGGTTGCCTTGGAGCAAACTGGTTCCTGAATATCATCACTCCCCTGAAGTGAAATTTATCGACATTCTGGGTAAGAGTGAATTAAGCTCAGCACAGTTTGGCAGGAGTGGCTCCAATTAAAGAGTTATCGCTTGAAAGTTACCGTTTTATGAGTGCTTTCTAAAGCAATATATTTTTAGGCATCCTTTTGAGATTCTACTGGTTGTTAAGAATAGGGCCAAGAGCCATTTTGGCCTTGGAGAAATGCAGCAAGAGCTGGATTCCGATGAGAAAATGGGGGCAGAAAAAAATGTAAACTAAACTTAAATAAATACGTAATATCATGACCCCCACCTGCATTTAATCATACCTCTTTTGTTACCTTGAATATTACAAATTAGTGGCAATTTTAGAAGGGGTGCATAAGACCCACCCAAGGCTTGAGCAATAAGGTGGTGGAGACCTCTCTGTAATAAAGGAGCGGGTGGTAACACTCTATGTCCTGTGCATATTCCTCCCTGTGAAATTGCTTGGGATCCCAGCTGATTTTGATGGGTGCTCCCTTCAATGGTTCTTCCTTCAGTTCCAACTGTGGACACAACACGCACCACTTGGCTCTTGGAGAAGATGGTGAAAATCAAGCACCCAGTGGTTCTGGTTGGAGAGTCGGGGACCTCCAAGACGGCAACGACACAGAACTTTCTCAGGAAACTGAGCCAAGACACAAACGTAAGGCTGTTGTGTTCTGGGTTGTTAGCCCATCCTCCTGTCTTTTGGGCTGTTCTTCCATGGTCCTGGTGCTCCCCTACCAGGCCAAGCAAGGTTGCCTACCTCACCAGCTTTTGTTTCAGATAATTGTGGGTCTGCCCCATTCAGGTGCTCCTCATCATCAACTTCTCTTCTCGCACCACTTCCATGGATATTCAGAGGAACCTGGAAGCCAATGTGGAGAAGCGGACCAAAGAAACTTATGGACCTCCAATGGGAAAACGACTCCTGGTCTTTATGGACGATATGAACATGCCTCGGGTAAGGGCTCAAGGGAATCACAAGACATGCAAAAAGGCAGCTAGAGCAGAGTGTGGTAGAGGGGGAGAACATGGCCAAATTCCTAGCATTCAGCCCTCAAAAATGATCAGCCTCTCCATGGTGATTCTGTTTGGCCTGTCGTATCCATGCCCATTGATACCCCCTTTTTCTCTAAGTCCTAAAAGTTAAGAAGGGAAAAAAGTCATCTAAAAGTCACCTGGTAAGAGAAAGAGATGCAGCTGCTTGGGACACTTAGAGAAGTAAGTACAGAGATGGCCTTGAAGAAGCAATTCAATAGCCACCAGGCAAACCTCAGCTTATATTTATAAAGCCATCTGCAGATCAGGCCGGCTACGTCCAGCCTCTCAGCCCTTTCCCCCCTCAATTTCCCCATGTGGTCCAAAGGTGGATGAATACGGTACGCAGCAACCCATCGCCTTGCTCAAACTGCTCCTGGAGAAAGGCGCCTTGTTCGACCGGGGCAAGGAGATGAACTGCAAATACCTCCGCGATCTGGGCTTCATGGCTGCCATGGGCAAAGCCGGGGGCGGCCGTAACGAGGTGGATCCACGATTCATTTCCCTCTTCAGCGTGTTCAACGTGCCATTCCCTTCAGAAGTGTCTCTGCACTTGATTTATGCCTCCATCTTGAAAGGTCACCTAGCGGTAAGTTGGATTACTCGGGGTAGATGGAGAGAGAGAGGGAGATTGAATCAATTATGGAGACTTCTTAGAAATTGCTTGGAGGCATGCCTTGAACTCCCATGAACAGAGGGACTGGTCTATGGTTTAGAGTTCAAGTGGGTTCCCTGCAGCCTAGGGAGTCTCTTTAGGGAGGCTAAAAGACCCCATAACCCCCCCCATCCCCCCAGTCCATAGGCCCCTACCCACTTGGAGCCCTCTTGTTTTTCCCCATGAAACATGAATGCTACTATGGTCACCAAAAGGCTACCCAATCATGCTTTAGAGCAGTGCTTCTCAAACTTGGCAACTTTAAGACATGTGGACTTCAATTCCCAGAATTCCCCAGCCAGCCCATGCTGGCTGGGGAATTCTGGAAGTTGAAGTCCACACATCTTAAAGTTGCCAAGTTTTGAGAAACATTGCTTTAGAGTTAAGATTTTTTTTAGTGATGGCCAAAGATGTGAGCAATTTCAGCTCTCATCTTCTGCATCTCTTTAGATAATCCTGGTCAATATTGCCATGTTTCCTTCTCTAGTGCCATAGCAGCTCTCTGGCTATGTGTTCATCTGAACCAGATACTAGTCCCCTGAATAAGGAAGGAGTAGTGAACCCAGATTTTCAGCTTCTTCTCCATTCTAATCCTGTGTGTCTGTCTGTCTGTCTGTCTTATATCTGTCAATCTCTCAAATAAAAATTATTAAATTGCCTGCTCTACTTATTACAAACGTATCTGTACATAAAAGACAAGGTAGGTAAGCTAAAATGATGATATAGATTGTATTGTTGAAAACAGAGAATAGATGAAGCATTAGAATGTAGCATGGATTATTAAGGGGGAGGAGGAAAAAAGGAGGGCAAGCAGAAGTAAGCCTCCAAGATAGCGTTATTTTTCTACGGTTCTCTTTTTAAAAATGATCTCCCCCTTTTTATTGGCAGACATTTGAGGAATCCGTTGCTGCCATTGCGGACAAGTTGACATCCTGCACCTTGGCCCTGTATGAAACAATTGTCCGTGACTTGCCACCAACGCCTTCGAAGTTCCACTATATTTTTAATCTGCGGGACCTTTCCAGGGTTTACAATGGGCTGGTTCAAACAACTCCAGAGAGGTGAGTGTGTAATAGTCATCATAATTTTAATATTAGTATGGAGGAGGAGGAGGAAATGATTTATTATAGCCACCCAGAGTGTTTTGAAGTTAATGTTAATTGCATTAATTTGACTTGGTTCTTTACATGACTATTACTGTTGATCTGACTTCTTTGACTTAGGTTCCAGACAATCACACAGATGGTGAGGGTATGGAGGAATGAATGCCTACGGGTTTTCCATGACCGGCTGATCAATAAAATAGATAAAGCTCTGGTATGTTCTTCTCTTTGTAACTCCTAAGTACAGTTCCATTTGGCTGGTTCAGGACATCACGTTTTCAACCTTTTTTTCAAAGGAACTGACAGGAAACATCTGAGTGGACTTTGTCTGATACAGAAACCCTTGGTTTGACTCAACCTTTGGATTAGGAGTCCCCAGAGCTGGCTTTTCCCCATGCTTCCCCCACAAGGCCCCATTCCTGCTTTCCTATTTCCTACCCCAGTGGCTTGGGAATTACAGTTCTCACAAAGACAAATACAGAGCCATGCACACAAAACCCCAGAGCACATCTGCTATATTTGCAGAAAGCATGTAAAATCTCCTTCTGGGTTTCAGCAAGCCTCCATCACTGAGTGCAGACTTGATCCTGGATCTCCTGAGCCCAACCCAACACTCTGTTTCTAGCTCTCACTTGAGTCCTGGCCCTAACTAAGGATTTTCACTGATGCGTGTAAGTAATTCTGGGGTTGGTTGGTGGGTTTTCTGGTGCCTTCCAAGGTCCAAGGCCATATACAAGGCCTGCTGGAAACGAATTTCAAAGATGATGCCGAGAACGCACTGAGGGACCCCATCCTGTTTGGAGATTTCCGAATGGCCTTGAGTGAGGGGGAGCCTCGCGTTTATGAAGACGTTCAAGACTACGATGCAGTCAAAGCCCTCTTTCAGGTACAGGAAGAAAAGTCCATATATTTTTTCCATCCTGGAAGGTTGAAATGAGGTTAAAAACAAATCCAGCTGGGGACTCTTCCCCTCTCTATGCTCTGGTTTGTATGTGGGCAGCCAAGCTAGTTTTTACATAGATAAAAGAGTTGCAATGAGGAGAAAATCCTCAGTGGGATGACACAGTCATAACACTAAGATTTCTAGAAACCTTCTCTCTCTGCCACGCCTCAAATTTGGATATTCCTTCTGCTCACCCCCACCTCATGTTTTCAACATGCTGCTTCTTCCCCAAGCCACTTCCTTGTTTGGCTTTTTCGCTTGCAGGAGATTTTGGAAGAGTACAATGAAATTAATACAAAGATGAACCTTGTGTTGTTCGATGATGCTCTGGAACACTTAACCCGCGTTCATCGTATCATTCGGATGGACCGTGGCCACGCGCTGCTTGTAGGAGTTGGGGGCTCCGGAAAGCAGTCCTTGGCGAAATTAGCAGCTTACACGGCGGGATGTGAGGTCAGCCCTACAGCTGCATCAAAAAGCTTTGTCTAGTCCAGTATTTCTCAACCTTCGCAACTTTAAGATGTGTGGACCTCAACTCCCAGAAGGGTCGGGAAAGCGATTGTCCTCACTGTTTTAATGCGGGTCTTCTTCACATAAATGATGGGTGGATTATGCTGGCTTGTTTCTCCCCCTGCATCATCTGTTGGTGGGAAAAACAACCACCACTGTCAGGGGACAGGGATGAGCAACTGTAGGTGGGGTGCTTTGCATGGCAGATTTAGTTCCTCATTCAGTTGTTCTAGCAGGTCACAGGCACACAAGGGTTTTGTGCCTGGGACCTATCGGTTGGGGTATTTTTTTCTGTAGGAGCGGTCAACTCTCATCCAAAAATAGCCCCAGCTGACACGTTCAGTCGGAACACAAGGTGTGAATCTCATTTGGCTCTACTCATCAGTTCAGATTTTTGAAGGTTTAGACTGCCTTCATTTATTTGCTTTCAAGGATACCCAAAATAGTCAAGATGGTAAGCCCAACCAAGTTAAAAAAAGGTGTGATTTTGATAGTGCAGTTGCATCTGCCATCTTGACTTTTTTGACTCCTCCCCCCAACTCCACGTGGACATCTTTGCCTACTTTGTTGAAGTTTTGCCGGACTGCCAAAATTGCCAACCAGCGCAATCTTTCTTAGGCTGGGAAAAGCTGGTTTAAAGCTAGTTTAAGATATACAATAACACAGAGAAAAACCCTTAAAACCAAATAAGAGGTCTTAGTGAAAAAAAGGCTGACAGATCCATCCTTCACCTTTTAGGTCTTTGAAATAGTTCTCAGCCGAGGATACAGTGAAAACAATTTACGGGAAGACCTCAAGGTTCTCTATTCAAGACTTGGGATTGAGAATAAAATCATTGTCTTCCTGTTTACGGATGCTCATGTGGCAGAAGAAGGATTTTTGGAGCTCATCAACAACATGTTAACCTCAGGTATCTTGGAAGCCCGCTGTGCCTTCATTTACCAACCCTGCAAGACGCATTCCATTTCAGGGGGCCTTGAAAGGCTTTGGTAAGGAAGAAGATTGGTGCTGTACATTTATAAAAGTACTGATTTCTCCCTGCGAACATCCCCCAAGTGAAATGTTTATGTCCTACTCTTCTGTTCTCAACCTCTGGCTGGAGAGAAAGTTGTAGAAAAAAAAAAGTGGGAAGAAATTTGATAACAGATGAGTTCCTCACCCCTTCCCACTCATCCATCCAGGAAAAATTGCTTATTCCCTTGAATTAGCAGTATGAGACAAACACAGCCTCCATGTTTCTTCTTCTGCAAGGCCCAGTTTCACTCTGGCTCTGGCAACGTCACCAGTTCCTGTAGCTCATCCTTCCTTCCTGTTCCTCTGGTGCTCCACAGGCATGGTTCCAGCCTTGTTCGCAGATGATGAGCGGGACAACATCTTAAGTCAGGTTACTCAGGAAGCCATGAAAATTGGGATCGCCCCAGCCAAAGAAAGCGTCTGGCAGTACTTTGTTAACAAGAGTGCCAACAACCTCCACATTGTCCTTGGGATGTCCCCTGTTGGGGACACTTTGAGAACTCGCTGTCGAAACTTTCCAGGTACCCTCAAAAGCCAGTTCTTCCCCAGGATATCGAAATTATGCAGCAGGCTGTTTTCATTAGCCAAGGGTGGCCTTCTCTCTCTTGGTATCTCAAAATGGGTTGGGACTAAACTCAGATTTCCCCAGGAATGAATCTATATTAGATTTATGTCCAACTTACCTTTCTGGCGTCAAGGCAGCAGGCATAACGTGGTCTCCTCTCATTTTTCCTGACTAGAACAATCCTAAATTGGGCTGAGAGTGAGTAATGGGCCCAGAGTCACCCTGTAAGTTTCCTTGGTTCAAAGTGAACTTGAACCTGGCTTCAATTTTGTTTTTTCATCCCCAAAGTGGGGAGCTATATTACAATGCACTTGGAAAGCCCCAGCCAGGGATGACTGGTAGAAGCAAATCATTTCTGGATTGCTTTCTCAGGAAGCCAGTCATTCATCAAATCTTACTTGGGGTTCCAAAATAAGAAGGGAGATACATTTCCCGTGCCGACTGTTTGCCATGCACTGCACACTTTGCATTGATTTTTGCAACATCGGGGGGCATGCTGTTAGGCTGCTCAAGGCCACCATAAGCCCTAAAGAAATTCCCTGAAAAAGAGGACTTCAAATCCCATTGTTAGACATCTTTTGCTGTGAGACGATGACCATGACTTGCAGGGGCTACATGAGCCCCCCAGGCCAATCTTTGGGCAAAGGGTTGGGGGGCAAAAGAGCAGATGGCCTGTGACAGTGGAAAGGAGCAGGGAGAGAGGACTCGTGAGCTACCTTGATCAAGTCTCAGCTCCCCAGGTCTTGGTTTCTTGCTTTGACTTTTGCATCCTTTCCTTTAAAGGCCTCGTCAACAATACTGGCATTGACTGGTTCCTGCCTTGGCCACCTCAAGCTCTGTATGCCGTCTCAAAATTCTTTTTGGGTAAGAAAGAGCTTTGAAGCCGCCTCCAATGGATGTGCTTTAAAGCAAAGAGAGATGTGCCTCAGCCTTTATACCAGCATTTCTCAACCTTGGCAACTTTAAGACGTGTGGACTTCAACTCCCAGAATTCCC